TGGGCTTCAGATTAAGACCTAATGGAAAAAAATAAATTGCATTTATAGAAACACATCAACTATCTGAAGTTCATCTAGTAAATCAATCTGTTTTTTCAAATAAGATATTTAATGAAAATGGTTAATGGCAATCACAAGTTTTAACAGGAAGTGCTGCAGTTCCTACCAGCTACCATAGAGGTCAACAATTCCCCAAAATAATGAATACTTCATTAAGGCCTTAAAAATACGAAATATGTTATTGTACATGAACAAATATCTTCTTTTTCAACATGATTGTCCTTGAAATAGCTTTTTTCACCTTTAACAGAGACAGTTACTCTTGGAATGAATGTGAATCCACCTTGTTTTCCATTCAGTTCACCAGTAACTCTGGGCTGATATGATCCTGAATCAGACTCTTTGAGATCATTAATGATGATGCTGCAGTTTTTTTGAGTCACATCAGGCTCCAAACGTGAGACTCGTCCTTCAAACGCAGCCTGAGCTTTTTTGTCTGTGTTTTTGTTGCTGTGAAATATTATGTCAGCTTCACTGCACCTGTGTTGAGATGCTTCACATTTGTACCAAACTATATGTTCGGGTGTAAACTCATCAGCAGTAGTGAAAGAACACGGGATCACAACACAGAGTCCAGCCTCTGCTGTTAGTTCTCGCTCACTCAGAGTAACACAGTATTTTCTATCACAGTGTTGTCGTCCCCAGGCTGAAGCACCTGTTAATGCAAAGGGAAAGATAAATATAGTGATAAAGAATATTTAGTTTATAACAATAAACATGATGTCTAATTAAAGATACCACAGGAACTTTTATGTTTTCACAATCTTCTTGTTTGTGCTGTAGCCTACACAACTACTTTTTCACATTTAATAGGCTATTATATCCAGGCAATAATATATTCCTGGATGTTGATTAACAATATCTCAGGACATGTTTAACAAAAGATTAAATTAAAATGGCACACAAGCCAACAGATGGTAGCAAAGGCACAAGTTTATGATGAACTGTGGGTAATAATAAATTCTTATTATCTGGACAAATTTCAGAAAAAGAGTGTTACATACAAATATATATAAAAAAATCAAATAGAAATATAGCAGCATTAGAGTAAAGGACAAGATACAAACCTATGTCAGCAATGCTGCCTTTTACAGAGACAAACAGAGCCGACCAGATGAGAACAAACATGTTCGTTGCTCGAGACGTTCAGTCTCTCCCTCCACAGAATAACTTATCCAGCCGATGAAGCAAAAAAGAAATCAAAACAAAAAATAAAATAAAGAAAAAGCCAACAGTTCACATCACACAGCTCAATAAAAGATGTAATATATATATAATATTATATAAATGTATATTAACTGCCAAATAAGAGGACAGCATTACCAGCATCACCAGTGTGTGAATGGGTGGATAACTGGATGTGTAAAGCGCTATACAAATACAGGCCATTTACAGCATTAGGTCACCCATAATATTTGATTAATAAATAATGGTCTTATTCACCATCACTGCTACAGATGTGAAAAAGTCTTTACAATTCTTCTTTTAAAAAGACTTTTTGAAACTCATTAAAATTTATTTTTACCTGTTTTACTTTGTTCTTCAAACTTCTCTTCTCACTGATGTCTGGTGACTCTCTAAACTGAAGTTTTTCATCCTTATCGCTCTTTTCTTTTTCTTCCTCCTTCTTGCAAAATGATTTCAGGAAGTTTCTCAGTAAACCACTCAACTTTACAGACTGACGTTCAAGTTCCTCTGTATGCTATATATAATTATAACAATTTACCTTTTTAAAACATAATGCTATCTTGAGATTTACAGATTGCAGTAATGGTGCTCCAACAAGTTCTATATATTCATATAGCATCAAATCATCATCATTCACCACATGGCCCTTATCACTGTGAGGTAAAGTCCGCACAAGATTAGAGTGAAAACATAACTTGTATATGACATTCAGCTTATCTTTACATTACTTCAACATCATACCACCAATACAACATCATTTTATTGCTATTTAAATGTTTTCTTATGTACTCATTAAAAAAAGTTCCTTGAGACAGATTGAGTGCATTAAAGAACTTAAGAATTTAAAATAAACTTCCCCTCTCTCATTCCCCTTATTTCTGCATATTTAGTCATATTTCATGTACAAATATGCAGAAGTGTTTGCTGCCTCTCTGCAAACACATCTTCATATTTAAGCTTCTTATGTATCCATTTATATTTTCACACCATCTCAGCTGGTCTTAGTATTGCTATTGCTAGTATTGCTATTGCTAACTCATTTTAATATTGTTATAGCAATGCACTGCTCTGCACTTGTATTTGTGAAAATTATTTTTAACCATTTAAAATAAGATCAGTGCAGCAGTTTTTGTATGTGTGAGTCTACATAGCTGGACCCAGAGGATTGTGATCACCAACATTATATATGTCATAAAAAATTATCTTCAGTCTTTTTCACATTAAGATTGGCTTACTGACTTTCTTCTGAATTTGATGCCTGCCTTCACACAATTCTACGGTTTAAGCTAAGACTGAAACACTGAGTCATATGTATTAGAAATGAATGATACTTCCCAGATATCAAATTTCAACAACTGAATTGATTTGTTAATAAAAGCAGCTAGTTATTATTTTTCAAAATGTTTATAAATACCACGCATTCATTCATCCATCAATCCATTCTCATACCCCTTACCTGGGTGGGAGCAATAAAACATTTAGTCTTGAGCGTTATTGTTCTTGTTAACAGGGCATCCAGATTGCCCTTGTGTGGGTGTGTCCTGCCATCTCTCCTGCCTTAGGTCCCATCTTTTTTGTACAGCTGACTCCCATCAGCAGTTAGAAGTACTTAAGGCCAGAGAAAGGTGAGCTCTAGTGCCAGAGAGCCTTGTTGGTTTGTAGCTAGTGAGCTGTGTGTATGGTGATTGATCTGTGGAGAGGAGTGTGTCTTTCATGACTAATCCTTTTGTACTTACTTTTCAGTTTACTGACCTACACCTGAGTTTTGTTGTTTTCTTTCCTTAAAAGGTGATAGCAGCTTGTCTGTCTCTGTGTTTAGTTATTAAGTTAGTTTAAACTAAGTATGCAATAGAAAAAAGCATCATCATCATCAATACTGGTTACTGTTAATATCTAGTAACAGTTATTAAGAGACTGAAGGCTTTCTGGATCAGACCCGCAGTGCTGTACAAAAACTAACAGCTGGCATATGTCTGAAGTGTGGATCAGTTCAAACACCAATTGATCAGTGTATCTGTGTCCATCAGGTACTTAAGTATCTATTTAGTAGAGCATTTCTTGTTTGTAACAGTCCTGAAGAACTCAATGGTTTAAACTGATGTTTTACTCATCAGTACTATGCTGAAACTGCAAATATGGTGTTAAGAAGTGGGTCTCAGAACAAAATGGCCACATGCCAGAGATTTACAGTTAACAAACAGTCAGGTGAATAATTAACACTGAGACACTTGAGATAATTAACGTGCTGCACGGGTGAACTACTCAGAGAGCAATCACCACGAACTGCAGTATTCGTTTATTTTTATAGGTTACATCGTCAATATGCAAATATAATCACATTTCCTGTTACGCAGGTCCT